CAGCCTCCTAGGATCAGGTTGAAGAGTGCAATGGTCACCTTTCAGTTTCAGGGAAAAATAGCTTGATGCCAAGAGAATGATATGATATTTAAAGAAAAGGTTTCTACCATGACCGTCCGCATCGCCAAATGCCATGCCAATGAATGGCAATCAAACTACTGTCTTCGTGCATCCGGGAAGCCAGGAAGCCTACATGGCCAATATCCGCGGCCTGAAGCGAGCGGAAACGGCAGCCCTTTTCTGACGAAAAGACTCCGCTATCTATATGGTTTAGAAGCTAGTAACAAGGGCATCGCTACGAACGGAGCAAGGACGCTACTAGGGGCTTTTGGCCTTACTACTAGGAGCAAGAAGCTATCTACCACCTTCTTCCTCTCAAAAGGGATAGGGCCAACATTGCAGCCGAGCGGATGTTTGCTGTGCATCTCTTGGCCCCACACGGCACTACCAATGGTGCGCCCAATAGTAGCAATGCGAGGCCTCTGCCACAAGGTCACCCCAAATTTTACCAAACTGTCTAAATGCAGTTTAGGGAAACCTAACATGCTAGATTTCAGCCAGGACATGCCAATTGTAGTTTTGGATCATGCACAAGCAGAAATTCTGAGGTATGGGCTGTCCTGTGAATCCACGGAAGAAGCGCAGCAAAATAAGCCTAAGAGCAAATGCTTGTTACGCAAGCATCCACGGAGCAAATGAGTTTCTGATCGTTTAGGCCATGACCCAACATACCAAAACATGCCAAGCCTAGACAGCCAGGTGAAGGCAACGGCAAACACCTTGAGCATTCACTCGATGCCTGTGGTAAACCTTGAGGAAGACCATCAACTCAAAGTCTTCCTGAAACTGAGCCTGGGCAGCTCCGACAAATCCCTCTCAACTCAGCTCTCCTTGCCCTCACCATTTATTAGACTTGCAGCGACTGGACGTCACTAGCCATATTATATATATATATTATATATATACTTGTTTTAAGGTCCTGTAAAGAGCCTGGAGGCCATCGCTAGTAGGTTGGAGGCTTCTCTAATCGCCACCGCACCGACTGCCACGACCAGCCACACCAGCGAAACAAACCAATTCGCCTGCCAGCCTTCCTCTTGCAATGCCTCTCACGGTGGGCGTCAGTGATTGCCCTTGACTCCACGGGCATGCTTGAACTACTCGACACTCCAGCTAAACTCCCCATAATCCTGAAAGAAAACGCTCAGTACTTGTAGCCGAAAATGGCAGGATATTCCAAGTGGAAACTCTCCGAGAGCTTCCAAACCGAGGTCTTGGAGAGAGCAAACTAGATTCCAACCCTTGGACTTCGGAAACTAGAAACAAACGCCTTACCCAACATGCGCCTGGACTGCTGCAGCTTCTGCAGCGCCGGGTGCCGGAGCAGGAGGCACCGTAGTGGCGATGTACTGGCGACCGACCAAGGAGCAACTTCCGCAAGAGAGTTCTGGCATAAAGGTTCAGAACAATACATCTCATAGCCTTGCCAATCCAACTTGTCTTGGTAGTTCCAGAAGCAGGGGGGGATGGTGTCCAAAAAGGGAAACACAAGACTCGTTGGATTCTCCTCATACGCGAAAGCAGCAGATTCCCCGCTTGTCGAGCTACCCATCGGATTATGCTTGGACTGAAACGCCAAAATAAACACTGGGCCTCTGAAAGTGCCGCCGGCAGTTCTGCCTCAAAATGTCAATCAGTTGGATCCAGAAGAAAAAGCTGTGGCCTTTTAGTAGAAAGACAGAAGCACCGATATTTGTCTGATGAAGGTACAGTGACTCCAAAACCAATTACTTTTCTAAGTTGCACACAGGCATATTGTCGCAACTAACGAAGGCTAGAGTTGTGAGAGAAAATCCCCTAAGCAAAACTATACATCAATGCGAAAACGATGCATGTTTTATTCAAGGCCCACACCATGTGTTGATCTAAGCCATCCATGCCAGCGTTGTAGACCTTGCGATGTCAAACGTCGTTTGGGAGTGAACAAGGAACACCGGAAGGGTTAGGTGGGTAGGGTTAGTAGGGAAGGACGCTACTAGGGGCTCCTGGCATCGCTACTAGGAGCAAAGGATGCTACTAGTAACAAAGGGCATCGCTACTAGGAACAACAAGCTACTAGTAGCTCCTGGCATCACTACTAGGAGCAAGGACGCTTAGTAGGGTAAGGGGCCTTTTCTTTAGCCCCTTAAGCCCTTGAAATGCTTGAGGCTACGGCAAAGAAGAAGCCAATCAGTGTGAGGCCAACCTGGCCGGGCCCAGAAGTGCAGCCAGCAACTCAAATGGAGCCGGGGGCACCAGGATGAAGAACCAGTCCACCAGCAGCCAAAAGTTTCCACCTGAAGAACATACAAAAAGCGCTCAACAAGCACAGGCATGGATCTGTATGAAATTGACATGAAAGCTGGCTGCAAAACTCCGAAACCGTTCGCCAGTCTGTTCATTGTTCCTTGGGCTCCCAAGCAGCAGCGGTGTGAGCAGCTGCCTAGCGCAAAACAGCTCATGTTCACGCGGATTGACCAAATCTCTTCAATAGCAAAATTTGGCCAGGCTTTGAATCATTGAACGCACAGAAGTTTAGCACTTTAAACCCCATCGCCCATGCTCACCATGTTTGAAAGGGTGTACGCAGTATGTTTGACAGGTCAGCCATGCTGTGCCTGACTGCTCAAAAGCCTCTTGGAAGGCCAAGGCCGTGAGCAGGAGCATGAGCAAACCCTGGCATACTAGCGAGTAGTAGCGAGTCGTTGTGTAGAGGGCATAGAATACAAGCAGAGCAAGTCAGTCAATGAAGCACAATTCTAATTAAATTCTTATTGTTACTAGTAGTAAGGCACTTGTTTCTAGTAGCAAACATTGTTACTACTAGTAAGGCACTTGTTACTAGTAGCGATGCACTTGTTTGTTGCTCCGGGCTTCGCACCCAAATCACATCCACAATGACTTCGAGGGCATTGTGCCATACACGCGTCTGCAGCGGCCTTACCTCCATCACTGGCCTCAGAGCGAAAGCAATGTGAGATAAAGAGACCAAAGCACCTCAAAGCACCTCAAAGCATCCTTCAAACGAGATTGCGTTTTAAGAAAAAAGTGACAGCTCTAAAGCTGGACGCATAAGGGTCTCACTGTACTAAGCCACCACGGACAAAGTTGATCTTCAACTGCAAGCTTCACAGCGCACGAATACGTGTAGACACTTTGAGCTAAAGCAAGGTTTGGCCTGAATGTGGATATAGCTGCCAATGTCCGGGTTCAGCAGAGTACATGAGATCTGAGGCCAAGTGCTGTCCAGTGAAGCTCAAAACAATTCGTAAGGCCAACACAAAGTCGTAAGTGCAAATCACAAATGTGTGTCTTCTGGAAATCGTCTCCTCTGACATGCAGAGCTGCACGCAAACACACCCAAACCAAAATAAAACCTGTCGCAACTGCGCCTGCAGCATGTCAGTGGCATCATCAATCCACTGCAGCCTTTGAAGCTCTTGTGCTCGCAAAATGCCTGAACTATCACGATGAGCGAATGAAACGGGGATGGCCAACCAGCTGTTCCATAGTGCGTCCCGCTTTTGGGTAGAGGGGATCCATTCAAGGTGATCTTTGAACCAAATGATTGCCTTCACGTGAACAGATCCTGGCGTATATGTATATAAATTGTACGTTGATTGGCTCCTGTGCAAGCTGCTACTGGAGTGAAGGCACCCCCTCCCTCCCGCACCAGCAACATAGAAAGAAAAGAAAACACTGCAAAAAGAAGGAAATCACTCGATCAACTGCTCTAGATTGTTGTGCTCCGTGCTACGACCAATAATCTCTGACCAACAGGACCGATGGGACCAACCCGACCGACGGGAACGAGTCTGCTGGGAAGCCTTCAACTTGGCTCGTGTCATTCTGCAGGCGAGAGATCTTGGCATCAAAGAAATCTGAAATTAAAAAAAGCAATCACGCCTTAAACCTGGAATTCGTGAAGGATGTGTTGGCTTGTTCACGTGGCTATTTCCAAAAAGAACCACCAGCATCCCGCATGTTGGCACAAAAAGACAACTTGAGAAGTGCGAAGCTCGTGAAATTCTTGAGCTTTCCGGCTCTTAGAAAGGCAAAGAACAGCTCCTGAAACACTCAGGGATGCCTCCCTCACAGATTCAAACGATGACTTCAGCAAGGGGCAGACCTAGTCACTAAATGACATGCCTACTGAAAACCAAGTAAGCTTGATGGCGCAAGTCCTCTGCGGGATCATTCAACGCCATTGATGCAACCTGCACCAAACTCGCTCTTTCAAAACACAATTGCAGAGTGAGCTCCGAATCGTATGCCTGAAAGAAAGGACACTAGGAACAAGAAGCTAGTAGAAACAAGTGCCTTACTAGTAGTAACAGGTGC